CATGCTGTGATTTTTCTGCAAAGAACTGCACTGGAATGCAGCACAACGCATAAAAAATGCAGTGGAAAGCTTTACAGCAAAAAAAAAAAAAAAAAAAAAAACAACCCTGGAAACTTTGGTAAGAAAAAACTCGAGAAAAAAAACTCATTGAAACACATTGAACATGTATCAAAAACACGCCAGAACGCATAAAAAAAGCACATACAGAAACGCTTTCGGACTGCGTTTCTGTGGTGTGAACCGGCCCTCAATCAGATGCAGGCATTGTTCAGGTATTCTGACAACAATGCGTATTGGCTGTCAGAATACAACACCAATTGTACAGATTCACCAATCCATGCTGCTTAGCATGGATAGAGAAATTGAGAGTTGTTTATATTAAATCCTAGCATGTATAGACAGTATAAGGGCTGTGGTATTATGGTTGTGTTTTGAACATTTATCTCTGCTTTGCCCCTTCATTGAAGCAATGTGCTTTTAAAGAACTCATCTTGCAGCCCCTGGGATTGGCTAAATACCTTTGAAATCAATAAGCCCTAACCATTGATTACTGAACACTTTCTACATGACTGTAGGAAACTGCATATTCAACCATGCCAGAGCAGGTACTGGGCATTTTTATATAATATGAGAATCATACACAACCTTGTACAGAGGATAACATTTGGCTTTAAACTATTTCAAACATTTTTATGTTTCCCAGCTATGGTTCTTTTTAAATCATATATCCTATTGTGGGTAATGAGAAATATATTACAATCTGATCTCACTTATTATGTTCACATTTTGAGAATGAAATGGTATAATGTGAATCTTTCTTTTTTCTCTGAGAAAATTACCTAGAATGCTACAAAACTTAATTATTTGAGAATTTCCATTATTTATTAGGACAATTACTTTTACAATTGAAACGCTATTACTGTTCATCTTGGTCTGGTTATACAGTCTAATTATTAAGCCAAGCTCTGTCCACAGTAAGAAGCAGGATTTTTCTGAACCCACTGTAAAATTATTTTCTTGAAGTCCATTGAGTCTATAGGGACAAGGGAAGTCTTAAAGTGTTTCTAAACCCAGAACAGTAAAATCAACTTGTATATGCTGTAAAGCATGCTTGTTATACACTGTGGAACCTAAGGGGTTAATCCTCTGCATTGTGTAAAAAGGCTGTTTGATACTTTCTTTTCTGTTCCTCCCCTTTTTCAAGCAACCACCTCTTATCTCCTGATAAGACAGACTGAACCCTATGCATTTGCACATGTTCAGTTTGGTGTGTATTGCTAGAGAGGTTTTTTTTTTCTTGGGAGAGTGTATGTGATCAGCACAGGGCCAATCAACACTGGCCAGACAGAGGTCAGAGGTTTTGCATCCTCCTAAAGTAGAAAGAAAATGGACAAAGCTGGCCCAAGCTGGCAGCAAGTGGGAGCAAGTGTAAACTCTCTTGCAGTGCTGGGACACTGGACTAAAAGGCAACAGGGTACAGAGAAAAATGGCAATAGAGCACAAGAATACACTGAGAGACAAACAAGAAACACATGCTTTGAGTGCACAGGTGCTGATAACAAGGTTGGATGAATCTCACAGGGGATAAGAAACTGAAGTGCAAAGAGGGATACGAAGGTGAAGGAAGACAGAATGCAGGTAAAGGTGCACAAAGTGACAAGAGCAGCATACATACTGGTGAAACACAAGGCTGGGACATACAGCAAATCCAAGGCTGGAAACAAGCTGCAACACACGGGGAGCAAAAGGCTGAAAAGATGCTGGGACATATTTGAAGCAAAAGGCTGTCAGGAAGCTGAGACACACTGATACTAGGTGCAAGGAATTCTGCAGATCTTTAGAAGCCAAAGAAAACATTTGAACATGGGTGGCTCTGGTTTAGTATATCAACATTGAGCAACCTGCATGCTAAGACCCAGTGCTGGAACATGGAACAGATGACTATGACAGGAATATTCACTGCTTCTGCTTGAGAATCCCTGTACCTGGAGACAAACCTGTAAAGTGTGCTTTTGAACCTGGAGACCAGGAAGTTCATGTTGTTCCCCACCTGCAACACAAGCCTTTAGAACAAGTAAATGGACCACTCCCCAGAGTCCAGGCAGTGTTCAGTTAATTATTCACACCTAGGATGAACATGGCGAACAAGGCAGGAATGTGAAGGATCAAAACTACCCATACCCATGTTACTTCCCATATTAATGTACGTCCACATTGTAGCATTGTTTAAATGAATTTGGATCAGATAACCTTATAGCAACAAGACACAGACAGCCAAATAACCTGAACTTGCAGGCTGTTGATTTCAAAACAAAACGTTTTGACAACCAAGTCTCCTGTACCTACAGGGTGCTCTGGACTGCTCCCTAGTCAAATCATCTGGCATCTGTCCAGAGGATCCTCCAGATAATGGAAATTATGGACGTCTACAATACTAGAGATGGATTCCTGAGCCACAAGGCCATGGACAATATAGTCATTGTTGTCAATTGAGTTGGTCTGTACAGATATTTGATTTAGTTGTTCCACAATACAAAATGTTGCATTGTAGAGATCTAGAATGAAAGTGGACAAATGGGACTGTCTCAAAGGAGGTCACCTTCAGACCCAAAATTTGTATGTAAAGCAATGGATTGGACAACTTCTGGACTGGAGAGCTAGAATCTGATATCAAGATTCTGAATTTTCTCAGTGGAAGAAATGCTCTGACCTGAACTGTGTCCAGAACTATATCCAGATACTCCTAATGGTGAATGGGTTCTAGTACCAATTTCGAATGGTTAGGAATCCATCAGAACTGTTTTAGTAGTCAGCTGGGTTCATTTAATAATATCTGATGCAGCTGTGCATTGTAGCCAATTAGCTCCTGCAGCATTGCACCAGATTTTGCACACTCCAATTTTAGGAAATCTCCCCCAGTCTGAAAGCCGAGCTCCACCCAAAAGGGGAAATTCTGCTTTAAAGACTGGTCCCCTGCTCCCTTTAAAGATTGGCATCTTTGGGGAGTGGGTATTCAAAATCGACAGGTACCCCCTCCCACTTCCGCTGCGATGGCCTAGGTGATCGAAAGAGGAAGTTGTCCTCCCCCCCTCCCTCCCCATAGTCTTCTGGGAGACATGATAGGTCCCAGAAGACTACGGTGCCATTCAGGAGGTGCAGCATTACTCGTGCATGCGCAGTGTTCACCTGGCTATGAAGCCACAAGCTGTCCCAGCCGGGTGCCCACACTGAAGATGCAGGCACATGGAACACCAGACAGCTGGTGAAAGAGGCTGCGGGGAGGACACCGCAGGATTGTGGGACAGGTGAATGGCTGTTTTTTAAAAGTCAGCAGCTACAGTTTTTGTAGCTGCTGACTTTTATTTTTTCACAGTGTGACTGGAACTCCGCTTTAAGATCCAAGATTGGGTGCATGCCACTTTGGATATGAAAATGCTGAACAAGTAGAAAAATCTTAGGAACTGTGCTGCCACAGGAACTGAAACAACACCTAGGGGCAATAAAAATAGGATGACCTCATCTGAAAATAAGACAATAAAAAAGCTGTCAAGTTTTAACACATAAAAGCATGTGATATCAGTACTCCTCTTCCACCCAGCTCATTTTGTCCAATAGGATTCTCTCCTCTGAGCTTAATATATTTTAAATAAGGGTTCTGCGCCATTTGCATTCTTATGTGTTTTATATTTCTTGGGCTACTTTTTGGTTGAAATTGATTTTTTTGCTAAATTACCTATTTCACCAAAGAGGAGTTTCCTGGTATTGTTCCTTAAAATGTTTTGTATTCTTTTCACGGAGTATAAGGTGTTCTGTGTTTGGAGGAGTGGAGATATTGATGTTCAGTGATGTGTCCCTTCGTTCAATCACAGAGTACCTTATGTAAAAAAAAATACAAGACATTTCATGAATAGAGGAGGTGGAGTGTGAATAACCCACATAGCTCTCAATGCATGCAGTGTGCTAGAACCAAGACTGGAATTTTCAAAGCCAGCAGTTTTGCCACTTTGAGTGGTGTCAGAATGTGTACAAGCTTTTTTCCTAAAGCTGCAGCATCCACCAATGGGACCCACATCATTAGGGGCAATTATTCTTTACATAACAATTGTGCAAATAGTCAAACGCTAAAGTTTTCTGTCATGCACTGCACCTGCAGCCATGATTCTGGTATACTTTTAAAGTAGCAAATGGGCTTTCTGCTAAAAATGATCCAAGGGGCTCTACAGCCACCCAATCATTTTTACAGGCAATGGAAGGGTGCCCCCTCATCCTGCTGCTGCCCACCACCTTTCCCGGGTACTCCCCATCCCAGGGAGTCTTGGACCAATATAACCTGCCACATCGGATGCATTTGGAAGAGTGGGAGAAACTTCTGTGATGGCAGAAACTGGATACTACAAGCCACTTTAGGGTTCGCTTTATTTACTTACCGCTACAGACTTGTAAAGCAGCCAATCAAGCTAGTCTGTACTTGATTGGCTGCTTTGTTTAACCACAAGCCTACAGGGCACTTATACCCCCTTCCTGCCCAGGGCGATTTCCAGCTTTCAGCGCTGCTGCACTTTGAATGACAATTGCGCGGTCATGCAACACTGTACCCATATGAAATTTTTATAATTTTTTTGTGACAGATAGAGCTTTATTTTGGTGGTATTTAATCAACTCTGGGTTTTTATTTTTTCTTAAACAAACCAAAAACCACCAAAAGTTTTTTCTTAGTTTTTGTTATAAACTTTTGTAAGATTTTTCTCCTTCACTGATGTGCGGTAATGAGGCTGCAGTGATGGGCACTGATAGGCTGCACTGATGGACACTGATAGGTGGCACTGATGGGCACCGATGAGGAGGCACTGGTAGGTGGCACTGATGGGCATTGACAGGCATCACTGATGGGCACTGAAAGGCAGCACTGATATATGGCACTGATAGGCGGCACTGGCTGGCACTTTTAGGTGACACTGACTGGCACTGTTTTGCAGCACTGACTAGCACTGATAGGTGGCACTGATAGGTGGCACTGACTGGCACTGACTGGCACTGATAGGTGGCACTGATTGGCAGCACTGATAGGTGGCACTGATTGGCATTGATAGGTGGCACTGACTGGCACTGATGGGTGACACTGAAAGGCAGCTCAGATGGGCACTGATATGTGGCATTGATGTGCACTGGTAGGCACTGATATGTGGCATTGATGTGGCACTGATGGGCACTGGCACGTTGCACTGATGAGCACTGACAGCTGGCACTGCTGGGGCTACACTGATCATCAGGGCACACTGATCATCAGTGATCTGATGATCAGTGTACATGTCCCCTTCGCGGAACGCTGATTACCGGCTTTCCTCTCCTCTCGAGCTGTCAGCATGACAGCTCGAGAGGACAGAGAATGCCGATAAGCAGCATTTCCCTGTTTACATGTGATCAGCTGTGATTGGACACAGCTGATCACATGACCAAGCTGACATCTTCAGCTCTTTCCATGGATCGGTGATCCGCTGTGTCCAAGGGACACAGCACACCGCCGATCGCCGCGCTGTGCGCTCCACAGGGAATGTTGCTCATCCATTGTGATATCAATAAAGTTCAATTAAAAAAAAAGAGCCAGTTTAAAAAATTCAATGAAGTAAATAATAACGTTTAAAAAATGTTTTAAAGTTTCCCCATCCCCCAGTGCTCACACGCAAATGTGAACATGTACAAACGTCCCGTGATTGCACCACACATGTGAGATATCACAGCAAACGTCAGCTTGAGAGCAAGAGACCAAGCATCAGACCTGTATAGCTTTTAAATCATCGCCTATGGATAATTTAATGCACCATAGTTTGTCACCATTCCAAGGGCTTGCACAATTTTAACCACTTCCGGACTAAAGCCGTGTTCCACGGTTTTACCAGTTTTACCGCAGTGATGCCTGCAGCCAAAACTGCTTTTTAGAGACAGTGGTTGGCTTTCTTGTACAATCAATCGGAGCAACTACTAGACACTCGATTGCTTGTAAAATCAGCGGGGGGAGGACGTCAGCTCTCCTGGGATCTCCCACCGGGAGTCCCAAGCAACCAGCTGGCGCATCTACTGGCTGGCCACACAGCCGAACAAATCTGGAATTGGCTTTGATCTGCTCTCCATTATTGTAAACAGGAAGCGATGACCTGACATCACTTTCGGTTTACTCGGAATCTTTCAGCGCCATTTTTAAAAATCTGAAAGCATCCAAAAACAAAGATCTTGGTCTCTCATAGACCCAAGATCCCTCCATAAAAATTCCTGTCACGTGTCTATTGCTGTCACAGGGGATGTTTACGATTACGTGTACTCAATGTAAAAATTGGGTTGTGCATTGTGATTTTTTGTAATAAAATTGAAAACAGTGTATTTAATTCCAAAAATTGCGTTTGAAAAACCGCTGCATAAATATTCTCTAGGTTCTCTGCTTTAAAAAATATATATATAATATTTGGGGGTTCTAAGACATTTTCTATTAAAAAATAGGATTAGAAAATGTAAACAAAAAGTGCCTGGAGCTAAAGTGGTTTTTAAATCATGACATGGTAGGTATCTATATAGTCAAGTAACGTCATATTTTATATTTAACCCAAAATTGTTATATTGTGCATGTATGCAACAAAATGTATTACAGTGTATTTTGCCCTGAAAAATTGCATTTTATAAACTGCTGTGCAAATATCATGTGACCTTAAAACAATTCAACACTCACCATTTAATTTATCTGGGACTTTATTTAAAAAAAAAAAAAAAATATATATATATATATATATATATATATATATATATATATTCCAAAAACAAAAAATCTGCATTTTTTTTCTAGAAAACTACTTATATATATAGTTTGGGGGTTCTGAGTAATTTTCTAGAAAGGAAATGCTGATTTTTTTGCATGTATGTGAGATATGTCAGAATTGCCTTAGACCAGTGGTGGGCAACCTTTTTTTTTCAACTGAGCCAAATCTCGCCAAAACCACGATTGAACTTTATTTTGAGAGCCACATTTTTAAAACTGAAAATACATCCCCCATATAGTAATTCATCCCCCATAGTAATTCATCCCCCATAGTAATTCATCCCCCATAGTAATTCATCCTCCATAGTAATTCATCCCCCATATAGTAATTCATCCCCCATAGTAATTCATCCCCCATAGTAATTCATCCCCCATATAGTAATTCATCCCCCATAGTAATTCATCCCCCATATAGTAATTCATCCCCCATAGTAATTCATCCCCCATAGTAATTCATCCCCCATATAGTAATTCATCCCCCATAGTAATTCATCCCCCATATAGTAATTCATCCCCCATATAGTAATTCATCCCCCATAGTAATTCATCCCCCATATAGTAATTCATCCCCCATAGTAATTCATCCCCCATATAGTAATTCATCCCCCATAGTAATTAATCCCCCATATAGTAATTCATCCCCCATAGTAATTCATCCCCCATATAGTAATTCATCCCCCATAGTAATTCACCCCCCATAGTAATTCATCCCCCATAGTAATTCATCCCCCATATAGTAATTCATCCCCCATAGTAATTAATCCCCCATATAGTAATTCATCCCCCATAGTAATTCATCCCCCATAGTAATTCATCCCCCATATAGTAATTCATCCCCCCTATAGTAATTCATCCCCCATAGTAATTCATCCCCCATATAGTAATTCATCCCCCATAGTAATTCATCCCCCCTATAGTAATTCATTCCCCATATTGTGTCAATTCACTTACCTTTGCTCCGCGCGTTCCTCTCGCCATGTTCCCGCGCCGTTCCGGTCTTCAGGGCGGACTGTGAGAGGAGAGGAGTTCGTCACGCTGCCCCGCCTACATCCTGACAGCCAATGTTTGCCACGCTCCGCGGGCCGGATTAAAAGGTCCGCCGGGCCGTAGTTTGCCCATTGCTGGGCTAGCTGCAGAGTCCTGACTTTTGGGGCGGCCGCCCGAGAGGAGGGAGGGGAGCGGGCGCCCGGCACACAGAAGAGCCGCATTAAAGTGTGTAAAGAGCCGCATGTGGCTTGCGAGCCGCAGCTTGCCGACCACTGCCTTAGACACACAGTGGTTTATAGTGACTTATTTGAATAATATTTGAATAATCTTTAATACCTACAAACACAGCATAATCTAAAGAATTTTTATTACCTACATGTATTTGTAGAACAATAGCTAAAAATAGTTTTTTCACCATTCACATTTTATTATGTTTAAGTTTATCACTTCTTATACAAGTAGAATAAAAGAAACAGAATACAAGTGTTACTTGAATCTGACAAAGCATTTGTAGATTGAGCCCCTGAGCAACTTATGTGGAACTGGAAAAAAATATTCTAACTAACAAATTAAAGGGCTTTAAAGTGCTTTTACAGATCTGTTATGAAGATCATATTCACATTATATCATTTGAAAAAAGGTAATTATCATATATAGTCTGTCACTGCTGAATCAAAGTATTTATCTGAACACCAAACCAAAAAGGCTCAATCAAATTATGTATTGATTTCAGCAAATATCCTATCATAATTCCTCCTTCGGGCTAGGAGCAGGGACACGTAGGAAGTGGGTAATCTTGATGTCATAAGCTAGAACAATCTGATATCAGGATTTTTAAAGCTAACACCCTCAAGCATTGCATTAATGTTTTCTACTTGTAAAACAAAAAAACAAAGCCAATTATGTTGCTGCAACATGACCCTTTATAAGCCTTTAAAGAAGGTCTGGCACTAAACTGGCCCAAAGACTAAAACATAAGCCTCTTGGTGCCCTAATCTTAGGTCCCTCTCAAATGAAACCTTCAACATTCCATGTTATTTGTGAAGGTCAGCCTATTGGCTATCATACTAGCGTGGGAAATGAGAAAAGATGGACCAGTCTTCTACACTTCTCAAAAATGCTGATATTTGTGTAATGGGTACCTTAAAAGTTATATTCTATTTAAACACATAGGTGTTTGTTCATTGAATAGAGATAAGCCACGATAATGATTAGTAATGGGCTAGATGTTCGAGTCGAACGTAAGTTCAACTCAAACATCAGCCATTTGTGTGTTTGGCGAAAACAAAAACGGAAATGGGTGTTCGGCGGGCTGCCTACCACGCCCCACAATTCACTGTGCTTTCTTTTACAAAGAATTTTATTATAGAAAAGACAGGAGCAGCGAATCAGTCAAAAACAGATACATTGACCAACAGGAATAAAACATACAAGGTATTCGATGAATATTACAGAATACGTACTGATGGAGAGACATAGAAATAAACAGCATACTTAAGTGCCGAGTACAGAAAGAAAGAAAAAAAAAAAAAAAGGGAGAAAACAATAAGTTGCAAAAATGGGAAACATTTATAGACCAATGAGAATATAAACTCTAAGGAAAAATTGTCACTATATCAGCTTATAGAAAGCGGAGATGATATGAGATGGAACCTCTTTGAATAAAAATGGGCATTCCACACGCAGGGCTCCCGATGGAGTCCAGCATAAGGATATAGTATTGCTGGTGCGGCACTCAAAGCAATAATCACAATCAGTACACATAGCATGAAAACAGACTAGACAAAAGGAAAGAGAGGAACGAAGAGGAAGGAGACGAAAACGAAAACAAAAAGGGCTCCAGGGGGATCGCAGCAGAAAAAAAAAGAAAAATAAACTGATATGTAAATTTTATATCGACAAAAGGGACTGGTAGAATCTCCATGGTTGGGCTATATCAAGCCAGGGACGCCATGTCTGCAGGAATTTTGTGTGGGTGTCTAACAGTATAGCAGTCAGTTTTTCATTGACCATTATGAAGTTCATCCGGTTTTTGACAGCCTCGAAGCTGAGGAGGGGAGTCTTCCAAGCCCTTGCAATCGTCAGTTTGGTAGCCATAAACAGGTGTGATGCCAGCTGCCGTTCGGGACGAAGTAGGCCCACTAATGGTTTAAATAAAAGCGCTTCATACGGGTTGCGCTTAATGTCTGTGTGAAACATAGTATGGAGGAGGGCATAAACTCTGATCCACAATTTGAAAACCTTAGGACAAGTCCACCAAATATGGACCATAGTACCCATTTATTGACAGCCCCGAAAACAAGTCGGGGAATATGTAGGGATAAAACGAGCCAGACGAGCAGGCGTGTAATACCATCTATAAAGAACCTTATAAGCATTTTCTAGTATGATAACATTCCTAGAGCATTTAGATAACGCTTGGGTCATGGTCCGCCAATCCTGTTGACCCAGAGTGCCCCTGAGTTTCGACTGCCAACCTTGATAATAAGAACGGACCGGAGGCAGTTCTAGAAGAAGTAATAGAAGAATAGACCAGAGAAATTAAGCCCAGAGCATGGGGTCTATGTCTACATTGATTTTCAAAGGGGGACAACCTGTAGGGTCCCGAGTGCGTCTGTATTAATGTATTGATAAAGTGGCGGATTTGAAGATAGCCATAATGTTCCTGCAATGGGATATCATGAGAGGAGCGCAAAGTTTCAAAGGTGAGTATTCGAGTGGGAGAT